CCCCCCCCCCTCCGCCCGGCCCAACATCTGACGGAAGAGAGGCGATCTGGCCCTCCTTCGGGCCTCTAGCCGGCAGGAATTAATCAAACCCCCACCCCGATGAGACCTGGCCCCCGAAGGAGGGAGACATCCTACCCCGCCCCCTTGACTCTCCATTCTTCGGCTCCGCTCGGTCGCCCGCCGCCACCCCGCCCCCTCCCCCATCCCTTTGCCTGCTTCCCGGCGTTCCTCGCCCTGTCCCCTCCTCCCCTCCCCCGCGCCCCTCGCTCCCTTCCTCGCCTTTCCTGCCCGCCAGGCAGCCCTCCCCCCCCCCCCTCGCCACTGCCGGGCCCCGGGGGTCCTGCCACCAAACCCCCTGTCTGAGTCATGCTCCGGGCCGGCATCTTCCGCCACATTGGCCAACGGTCGGGCCCCTGGCAGCACCGCGCCGGGGGCGTGGCCGCCACAACCGGTGCCCGCGTATCCCCCTCGCCGCTGGTTGCGCCGCTGGCCAGCACCATGCCCACCAGGCGACCGGCCGACTGCCCTGACCGCGGCCTCAGCCACATGCCGACCCGCGCTTCGGCGGCCAGCTCTCCGGCCTGGCTGCCTTGTGACCTGGGCCTCGCCAGGCTGACGAGCCCACGGTCAACAGTGGCATCCCTTGTCGCCGCGGCTCCTCGCCGGTATGCCCCTGTCGATCCCCCTGCCGAGGCAGGCTCATAGTTGGTCTCACAAGCTGCTCCCGCCGGTCCCACAGGCCGACTAACCCCCCTCCCCTCCCACACACACACACACACACACACACACACACACACACACACACACACACACACACACACACACGCACACGCACGCACACATGCACATGCACACATCCACAGCGACTACGCCGCCATCGTCGACCCTCCGAAGCCCCCTCCTTCGGCGACCACTGCCCCCGTCGCCGCCCCCGCCGCCGGTCCCACCACCACCAACAACAACAACAACAACAACAACGCCGTCCCCCCTGCCACAATGCCAGACTGGGGGGCGGAGTTTGACACCCCGGTGCGAGCCAACTTCGACCGGCTAACGATAGCCGGGCCCATGCCCCTTGAGCCTGTCCCGTCGGTGATTCCCCCGAGCCCGCTCTCCGTTCGCCGGCAGCTGTTCGGTAGTTTGACCGAGCAGCTCTTCTCGCGAACCGGCAGCGCCAGTGCCACGATCAATGGCGGAGTCGGCGTCGGCGGGTCGGTGGCCACCGGTGCGGGCGTCGGTGGCTCCTCCGCCAGCGCCGCCGGCGGCACTGGCATTGCCTCCTCCGCCGGGGCCCACGGTGCCGGGGCCCTGGCCAAATCCCCACCCTCCTCGCGGTATCTCGGCGAGGCGGACCTTGATGCGCTGCTGTCGTCGATTCGCGAGCGGTACGTCCGCACGCGCGCGCGCGCGCACACACACACATACATACATACATACATACATACATACATACATACATACATACATGCACACACCGCACCGTGCTCGCCCCTGCCCGCCGCCCTGACACGTCTGCCGCCCCTCTCCTCCTTCGGTGTCGCTCTGGCCGTGTGCCGGCTGCCGATGTGGCCGCCAGGTACCTTGTTCTGCCGCGCATTCGGCCTCGGGTGGGACCCATCACGCAGGATTTCGTCTGGGGCATCCTCTCCTGGCTGCTGCTGATCCTGGCCGTGTCTTTTGTCACCTTCACCACCCCGGTGGTGGGGTTCTTCTTCACCATCGCCAACTACCTGCCCTTCCGGGGTACGTGTGCTCGAACTGCCCCGCTCCCCGCACGCCGGCGCCCGAATAGTGGCATGCGCTAACTCACCCTCCCCCGCGAATGGGCGGAATGGCGGGAAAAAAAAAGACCTCCTCTATGCCCAGGTCGCGCGGCTTTTCTCATACTCCCTCGGGTATGATGTTTCTCTCAACGGGCCGATTGTCACCATGCGCGGGTCCATCGATGGTGATGGGGCCAAGAAGGGGAAACTCCTGTCGGGGCTGGCCCTGGCCGAGGCACCGGGCAGCGGGCTCCCGGGCTCCAGCGCCGCCACCTCCAACAAGCGGGGCGTCTTCCTGTCCTTCTCCAATGTCCGGCTTAGCCGGCTCTTCGAGGAGCTGAACCACGTGCCGGAGACCGGTGAGCCGGCCGGGCCGGCCTTGCGGGTCCTGCAGGCGCGCGAGGCCGGCTCCTCGGCGGCCCTGGGCGCCGCGTGCGTGTGCGAACCGCGGCTCCCCCACTCGACCCAAGCGGAGACCGGCCTCAATCTGCCCTGCCCGCGCTGTGGCCAGGAGCTCCTGCACGACCAGCAGCTGGCCGCCATCGACACCAATGTCACCCAGTTTGATGTCACCTGCGACAAGATGGAAGTTCGGCTGTCCTTCTCGCGCTTCATGAAGGGTGCGCCTGTCGCTGGGTCTGGTCCGCCGCCATGGGCATGCTCCATGCGCG